CCTGGTGTCCTGCCATAGCGGGGACTGCTTTCCTGGAATGGAGATTAACGGTGACACTGAATGCGTCTTGGAGTGTCTCTGCTACATATACTGGATGGCAAACCTGTCATCAGCTTCAGCCAAGCTTCTTACTCTAATGCTCAGAGCTGACATGGAATGGACTCTTCAAAGAAGTCAGTGCAGGCCAGGGTCCTAAAATGATCTATGTACGGGTGGACTGTCTTAAATCTTTTATCTCAGATTAGCCAGTGATTTGAAGCAGATTCCTCACACTCCAGGCACTCTTGTGAAGCTCCTGTTACGGTGCGAGAAGTAAACAGAACACACTGACAATGGACCCAGGAGTGGTGAAAGTGAAGGGAGGGATTTCTGTAGGAGTGTGCAAAAAAGCAAACGGATGAAGGAATTCTAACCCCAAAGAGTCTCAATTTAGAAGTAGGAAGAAAATAAGGGAGGAGGAAAGGTAAATAAAGAGAGTATGTGTATGTGAGAGAGAGAGAGAGAGAGAAGGACCACGAGAGACAACATTCCTATTTGAGGCCTCACTGGGAGTTTCCAGGCTGCAGGTTGAAGTGTCACGAGGGTGTTTCCAGGAAGAGCGTGTGTGGTCTCACACCACCAGGCAGGGTTCCAGAGCCTTCAGGGAGAAATGTATTTCACTAGAGAGGTTCAATTTGAAAGTAGATATGGCTGCTCGCCACTTGTGCCATAGTGTTGCGACTTACTGACCAGGTAGCTAGAGAATATTTGATTCTTCTAGGGTGGAAGGAGTTCTGCGGCGGAAGGACTTTCTGGACTAGCCGGGTTGATGTTTTAATAGCTAGCCACATCCTCTATCACTCTGAAAACTCAGAGCAACAGGAGATTGGTGAGACCTTGACTCGCACTTTCCCATGGGCCCACTCTGTCTCTCAGTGATGGAAAGAGAATGGACACACAGGGAAAGAAGGGGGCTTTTCAGCCAGAGACTGATCTCAGTATGAAAATGACGTTTCTGTGGTCTACTCTGCCCACTTGATCACTTGAACTCTGTTAAACCCCCTGGTCACTCGTGAGTTCACTTCTGCTTCTCTCTATGCTGGTCCGCAGCAGCTGGTGAGGGGCACAGGCAAAGGTCAGACCCTCATGTACAGGGTGGAAGATCTGTGGCCAAGCAAAGCAATCTCCTTGACTTCCTTCTTGGATCTGATACAAAGGAATATAAGCCCAAACCCAAGAGATTCATCGATGGGTAAAAAGGTTCTGGTGCCATGTCTGAAAGAATTCCGTTTAATCAAACAGATCAAGGGGATAAAACTCCCAACCCCCACCTTGCAGCAGCCTCGATTCCAAAGTCTCCTCCCCACTCTCACATGTGCCTTCCTGGCATGGCCCAGGCTCACTGTCTCAGGCCCTGCTCTGGGCTCCACAGTACTTGGAGTCATCCCCACAGGGCCCCACTTTCTTTTGTGCTAATTTGGCACAAGTCAGTCTTTGCCTCCCTGCCACACTGACAGTCCTTCCTTGCTGGTCCCCCACACCTTTTTTTCCAAAGTCCTCAGTCTGCTTCCTGGATGTCCTAGTAAGCCCTCTTAATAAGCTACGGTTGCTTCATTGGTTGATTGGTTACTGAAGATTGCCCTTACCCTCTCTGGGTAATGCCTACCATGGAAACATGAAACCCCAAGTTTCAGATCACCACATCTTCACACTCCTAAGAAGCCCCCACGAATTCCCACTAAAGTGAAGAGGCAGTAATACAAATAAATAACCAGAGAGTGCACATCCAGCCAACTAGGGTCCAAGACAGAGCAGGCACTGTTTTCCAATAGAACAGGGCAGTAGTTGTAGTTATGGTGGTAGTTATAGTGCCTGCCCTACCCAGAGAACTTGAATCCAGACTCCTGGGGCCTCTCTAGTCCTAACACAATATTTAAGAGTCAGTATTAAAGCTTTGGAGTCAGACTGGCCTGAGATTTGAATCCACACAGGGGCGTAGAAGGAAATAAGGTCACGGGAGCACAAAGGTTAAAGGTGGAAATCTTTCTAATCTGTGTCAGAGGTGGGGCCCATTCCACTCTTCCTGGCACTTCTCACATTCACAAACACACCCTCCCACTGAAACAGTGTCCTGCAAGGTCCTCTCCAAGTTTTTCCTCATTAAAAAAATAAAAATAAATATTATAATATAAAATATAATATATAATATAAAAATAAATATTATATATATATATGCATATAAACACACACCTGTAGTCCTAGCTGGTTGGGAAGCTGAGGCTGGAGGACCACTTGAGTCTTAGAGTTCAAGGCTACCCTGAGCAACATAGCAAGACCTTGTCTCTTTAAAAAATTAAAAAGAAAATTATTAAGTCCATGATCCCTGTGTCCTGCTATTTCCTGATCCCTTCTCTCACCTTCCCAGTGGAGCCCATGACCCATGGCTGCCATTTTCCTTTCCAGGGAGCTGCTGGAGCTCCTAACCCACCATTTGCCTCCCTACCCCCACATAAGGTCAGTTTCTTTCACCCTGGGTTATAGGGACCCAATGGGAGAACCACATCCTTTCTGGCCAGCATCCTAAGGAAAGAGGCTGAGGTTTCCCTACCAGGCCTAACAGAAAGGGAAGTAGCCAATGAAGGGTGCAGATGACGTTTGAGAGAGAAAGCCCTTAATCAAACACAGATAGCAAGAATATTAGCAAAAGGACTGGAGAAAATTGCTATCAAAGTAAATGGCTTTTTGCACAAATGTTTTCCCTAGTGTGCCATTCTTTCTTTAAGACTTGGTAAACAGATGCGCTTTTGAAAATGTTGATTAACGTATCCTTTTTTCGACCCCTTCCCACTCACCCAAACTCCTGGGAGCAGTGATTACACAAAAAGCCAAGTCAAGCCGCTAAAAAGTGTTCTTCTTTACCTTAAGTAGCCTTTGATTCTCCAGGTGCAGAAATCTCAGCTGCATCTGGGCAATTGATTTCATTGAACTTTAGAAATGGACCAATTCTTGGGAAATCATCTCATCCAGTTCTCAGCCTCCAGAGACAGAGGCTGTGATCTCCTGGGGTAAAATGCTCTCCCAGTCATTTCTATCCTTTCATCCTTCTTTCTTCAGGATCAATGCCACATCCACCCCTTCCCAGACCAAGATCTCTGGTATTCTAAGACTTCTTCCCTGAGGGTGTAGGATGAATCAGAATGACATTCTAGCCTCCAAAAATCCATCACATCCTTGGCAGAGACCAGGTTCCTAAAAGCGAGCACAGAATTTGGCCCACGAGTCACTGGCAGGAGCCCCGTAGGTCTCATCCTAGGCTGATTTATATATTCTCATCCAATGTTCTGCATCTTTTATCCATGAAGGTATTAAGACATATGAACATCCCATCAAAACAATTTGTTAGAAATGTGACAGTCATCTTCCATGTTCTTTTTTTTTTTTTTCATGAGGTTATAAAAAGCTCTGGGTTGACTTTCCCAAGCTTGATTTGATCCCTATGACAAACACCACCTGCCTCTCACTGATTCTCGTTCACATCTTCATTCCAAGGAAACAGCCTGCTCTGTAGGGCTGGGGAACAGTGCAGGGGTGGGCACTGAGGTTGGGAAGCTGGTGTGGCCTGCAGGTGCCAGTTGCTGTGCTAGAAACATGCCAGGAACAGCCTGGATTTGTAAGGGACTCGTGCCACATGGCATCGATCCTTTCAAGTGGGGTCTTGGCACATTGTTTCATGCATCCCTTATAGCGACAGAGAGGATGAGAATGTGCTGTAGTACTTTGGCCAGAAGTGAGGCGGACTCCTACCACGATTAAAACCCCAGCCTCCAGGAAAAGGCTGAATTTCAAGTGTGACAGTGATGGATCAATCCCCAGTTCAGATCGTGGTCAAATAGATCTTCCTGAGATGTAGTGCTGATGAGAGGGAGACACTCAAGATGGTCTGATGTTCTTTTTTTGTCTTTTGTCTGATTCTTTAGCTGTTTGGGAGTTTTAATTTTCTTTTAAGCCTTGATAATAGGAGTGCTGAACTCAAGATTGTTCACTGGACTTTGAGTTGAATGTAAGTCAAAAAGGGCCACTCATATTTACTAGAACTATCTTGAGCTGACAGACGGGAAAGGCATCATTAGCTTGTGAGATGGGAAGAAATAAGACCCTGCTCTTTGCCACGTAGTTGATTCTCTCTTTGAATGTATATCTTTCAATGGTTCCATAAGTTCCAATGGCTCTATCTTTCAATGGTTCTATAAGTTGGACAGCATAGTGGATAGAGAAGCCATGGGCGAGAGGGCTATGAAGATGAACTTGATGGTGAGCATCTCTGTGATTTAGCAGATAATAATGAAATTCAAGTTTGATTGTAAAGTAGTTGTCAAAAAAATTACTATAAGAAAAGTCAGAGGGGATGCCCACGCTTGCTCTGTCCTAACCACAAATAAAGCCAATAGGGGAGGAAGGAGGAGAGGTACTAGCACAGACATGTGAAGGTGGATTGGCATAATGAGATTCTTTCCAGTTCTGCCCTTACATTAAAACACACGGTGATGAAACAGGACTTCCTTAAATTACCATGCCTTTATTTCAAATCCAGAGGAGAAAGATTCCAGTGCTTATGTCCACTTAGATGCATGCACATGGGGAGATAGTTCATGCTACACTAAAGAGATGGCCCAGGAACAGCAACTGATATTGGCCATAAGATGCCACTGAAGGTGCCTTAGATAAAACCCAGGCCTGTCTTGGTAATGAATGACAGGTCATTAAAAAGACACAAGTGAAAGGTTTACTAGGCACTGAAGACCTGGCCTTCCTTATTAGTTCTGTTTTTCCTTCTTGTTGGAAGAAAAGACAGATCATTTGATGGAGAAATGATCCAGTAATGTACATACTGAATGATTTAGAAGTGGGTGGTCCAGCTGCCTACAGTAACAGGGCATCATTCTCAGAAAACTTGCATCTCTGCCTTTTAGCCTTGGTCACAGAACTGATGGAAACTTGGTTTGTTTTCCTTTTCATTGTAGTAGACATCCCAGAAATCCACGGGAGAGAGGGCTACGAAGATGAAATTGATGGTGAGTGTCTCTGTGATCTAGCAGATAATAATGAAATTCAAGTTTGCTTATAATGTGGTTGTCAAAACTAATGCCCAGGATATTGGAGGGCCAAAATTTAGAACTATCCCAAAAATAAATGAATGAATGAAGAAACTACCATCAAGGTAGTTTCCATCAAGGTCAAATTTAGAGAAGTAGAAATTTAGTTCCCTCTGCCTAATCTGTAACAGGTCC